TCAATCGACTTTGTGCAATATGCGCGCCTATGAAATACTCCACATATTTCAGGTACGCCACAACATAAGAGGTCGGCCAGTATGGTAGCCAAAATCTGTCAAACTTATATCTGCTTTTAAGTTGATGTCCCTAACTCATACATAACGGACACGATCCAATACGGCTTTTATCAAGATTGAAATCTGTGTTTATAAACTGGTTTAAAAAAAATTCGGTTACAACAGATTAGGCCTAAAAATCAAGCTGATAGCCATGCATGTTCCTTGCGTTGATGCAAAAAAAGTCTAAAAATTGTGCAAAACGTATTAAAGGTGGATTAAAGCAAGGTTTACAAAATGGCATTCAAGCTGCGAAAAACCCAATAAGCAAGTTTGTAATTTAAAATTTGCATCGTGAATAACCAATAATTAAATCTTATCTCAAGAAAATTCAAGAGATTTCCACTTTGTTAACAATGAGGGGCTTCGCTCTTAAACATACTCGAGTCTAACACGGGTCAAGTTCTGATTGTTAGCATTCTTCAAGTCATGATTCGCTTTAATGCAATGCATCTTCAATGTAAAGCAATTCTAAGATCACTGATTAGGAAAGGATCCTAAATTGCAGTGGCGTTCTGGAACGAAATGCTTTCCGTAAGATGCGTCTAAATCTAATTTTAGTATCTGCTGCGTTCCTGTGGAAAAAAATAATGAGCGTTCAAAAACTCGATTTTGACAGACGCCACCCCTTCAAGATCTAGTGTTTCAAAAATTTTCCATATATTAGAGTTATTGTGGTGCACTTCTGGGTCAGCACAAACACCTTGCCAAAGATGCACCCCAGCTGGACTTCATAGCACATTATGGATTAGAACCTCAATGAATCACACTTTCAACGGCTCGTAACTTCTTTCAAAGAATCGCGCAGCAGATAAGAAAGGTGGATTTGAAGTCAGCTATCAAGACCCATCTATTGGTATGCGTATCATTCCAATGTGCCACTGCGACTTGAAAACTACAGAGGTAGTAACGACGCCATGCCTGAGGTGACCAGATTTCGGCGGCTTGGTGCGCTGGTGACCATGTAGTAATTAATGTAGTTTCCATTACTTTTTGCCACCTTTGCTTTGAAAAAAGTGTATGTGATGGTATACAATTTTGGCCAAAACTTGGTGCAGTAAGAATCAATCAACATGTCTGCTTATAATGTTTATTTTTCTCTAGAGTTACTATGGATGCATGTTGCGGAGAAAATTCACCCACTTCACAAGGCTTGACTTTGAAGTATGATTGAACCATTTGTGCCCCACATGACAAGTGAATTGAAGCGATTTCTACAGACAACGGACCCATAGATCACACAATGGTGCCTTAGGAAGAATACTGATTTTGAAATTGGGAATTCGGCAGGCCCTTTTATCTTTCACTTTGTCACTTTTAGTCCTCTGTGCAAAGTCACGCGGTCAAATTTGGATCAAGCAAAGCCTTTGCATACATTTCCGTAAAAACAACGCGTACTCTCTCTTACATTCAGATGAGATTGAAGCGGCACTGAACAAGACGATCACCTGTCGAGGCACATTGAGTGGCCGCTCGCAAGTTCAACTCACGAACCTCAATTAAGGCCTTCAGTTAAAATTATTTGAACTGGCCGAGTTTTAGTAAGGCCCTCGCATCTATACTCTGAGTTCTTATTTTCATCACTTAGTTTCATAAAGCCGGCGACTACCTCTACCTTTTACGAGAAGTAATATGACGCTGGCTAGAGCGCATTGGCCAACTGTTGACATTTGTAGTTCTACTCTAAAACAAAAGAAAAGAGCGCCTCTGATTGACAGTGCTATAGAACTGCTGGAACTTGAGCTTTTTTTGAATTTTACTCTTTCCATGGATGTTTTATAAAATGCGATATATACTGGTGCAAGCTTTTGCAGGCATTTTTTGTTAATCAGCTGCTGCAAAGACTTTTTAAATAGGCTTGGAGGAGATACTGTAACAATATTCCTACGGCGTCTCAAAAGTGTTAATTATGCTTACTACAACCTACCATATAATTTATACTCAACAGCCCAAAAAGCTCGTTGATTGTTTGCAAAAAATTGAATTGTAGCTTTTTGCGCATTGGCTGTTTACTTCATCAAACTTATTAAACTTGCTTTGCATTGAGCACATGAGAAGCGAATGTAAAACTGAAAGCGCAAAAAACCGAGATGTCAATGCGGTGCTGCTCTAGGACACAGCTGTTATCTTCTTCGACGTCGCTCGCCGCAAATGCCCACGCAGACCGATGTTCAGGGTACGGTACGGGTGATGAACTCAGCCATTCCCAACAAGTTGTGTATCATCAGACTCGCTTTAGAACGCTGATTTCAAAGTCTACCTGGACGAGTTGTTAGTGCTTGAATATGAGAAGTAATTTGAGCTCCAAGAAATATATTTCCTTAAAAGACAGCCTGACGGCGCGGATAAACAGTGGCTGTGGGTATTTTGATTACGAGGAAGAAGGACATTCAGCAAAAACCTACATAATTGTTTTTTAAACTGTGGAATATGAGTCACAGAATAGTTGACGAATCGCACATTTCAACGCTCACTTTCGTCCAGATAGTTGCGTGGCAGATAATAAACTTATATTTGAAATCAGCGTTCAGGGGCGAGTCCGACGATATAGCTTGTTTGGTATAGGTTAAGTTCTGACCATTTCCTGCTTAGCTTGTTTAAGATTAAAAGCAATTTCACTCAAGCTTCAACAAAGTGCGTCTTTCAGAGCTTGCGATAGGCGAACATAATTCACAAATCATCAGGCCAAGCTTTTCCGAGCCTTGCAAATGTTGGCTTTCTCTGAATCATAAGCAACCTGCAAAATGCAACGCTCTCTTATTTATATTTTTTCTGTTGTTTTGCCAAATTGCAAAAATTGGTCGAGAGAAAATGATACGTTTTCAGACGTTGGGATTTCAATAGAACAGATGATGCTTCTTATTGAGTTTATCGGCAAACGCGGAAGTCTTTAGCTGACTAAGCACTCCATTCAGTGAATTATCCTTAATAACGAGATTTTGAAATGTAAACATCTCTACTGCAACGGTGACAAAGGCATTCCTTTTGGTAAATAGGTCATCAAAAATGTGTATTAAGAGCTGGACCTTGCGAAGTTATCTCTACTCCCGTTATTTAAAAAAGAGTTTTGCGAAAAGTTTTGAACGCTCAAAACGGATTTTGCTAATGCTAATCGAATTGCCTATCTCGTGCTAAGTAATAAAATTTGTGACGATTTGTCAACGTATTTAGTATAATGTAGAATTATTACACAAAAGAGCAATAATAGATTGCTCTGTAAGTTATAGCGGTATCGGCCCGACTTACTTTCGATGTTCCTACTCAGGCAATCGCCGGGGGCAGGCGGGCATCGGAAAAATAGATTGCTGATCTCTCGCACCCCGCTCGCGGATTTTTTGGAAAGCAATCAGGACTTTTCGGAAGACCGCTTGCTGAGTTCTCGATTCCTCAGAGATTCAGCAATATATCTGCAAAAGATAAGAGCGAAAAAAAATTCAACAGGCTGTCTCTCAAAAATCCGCTGACTCAGCAAGCGGTCTTCCGAAAAGTCCTGATTGCTTTCCAAAAAATCCGCGAGCGGGGTGCGAGAAATCAGCAATCTATTTTTCCGTGCTCGCCTGCCCCCAGCGATTGTCTGAGTACTTACTTTAGACGGTGTTTCCACCTCAGCAAAAATAAAAGAAGTCTTCTCGTGGAAGCGATCCTAAATAAACGCTCAGGAAATGCTAAATTTCCAGGTTGAGTGTTGCATGCAGTGACATAAACTAGCAACGGAATCACCACATTGTCATCGTTCAACAAACTCTGCGAACATATTACATTTTTGTCCAGCGCCATCTCATTACAGCAAACTTTCAATTGTAAAACCAATGAATTATTACTTTCAAAAACGGTGTGCTTTTAAGCATAAAAATAAAGAATATGCTAAATTAGCGGAAAAAACGTCAGCTCGTCAACTTTTTTTAGCTTAACTTGGAACTAGCCCAGCTAGTAAAAAAAGCCTTAAGCACTTCAAAGGACGGTGAAACGTTGACAAAAACCAGATCAACACATTATTAACATTTGACATCATTATGAAAGTGGGAAGCCACCGTGATCAAATCCTTGAATATATTAGGTTGTCCCAAAAGTAAACTCCATTTCAAAATTGAGCTGTTTTTGTTTTCCTAACGGACTTGGGGCACCAATTGATAAAGGAGCAAGCTCTACAAAAAAACCATCACAGATCCCCATAAAAATCAAAATTTTTTGAGATAACCTTGAAAACCGGTTTTTTTTCCATTTTTTCCACAGAACCTATTCGAACCTTCAACTTGGTCTTCATGTAGTAGACACATAAAAGTACCCAGAAGTTTATTTTGTGGGCTTTTCCGGCTCTCAAAATTGAGAAGTGAGGATGCCAAAATGCCTTTTGCCAAAATGCTTTTTTCGTCTTTTCATGTAAAAACGTATTTCTCAATTATAAAAACAAATACAAGAGTGAACTTTTAAGATTATACTTACTACAACTTTTAGTATACCGTGATGACTGTAAGAGGAACTGAAGGCGGAGTTTGCTTTTCGGACTATCTTTATTTCTCGCTTTCATTGAGTGGAAAAAGAAATTAGTAAAGGCATGTTTGAGTATTACTATGTGCTTACTTATAATGGCCAGGTTGGAGGTCTGTAAGATCTCTTCTCGCAATAATCAATTTTTAGGTGCTGCAAACTGTAAATTGGAATGCGACCTAGGCGGATTTTTGGTGGTCGTTTTGTAAAGCTTAATCTGCTCTATCAAATTGATACCCTTATATTAGAAAAAAACAAGAACTTGAATCTTGAAAAAGGACTTTACTTTCGGGACAATCTAGTAATATTGCAACAGCACAGAAAATCTGCTGTCAGACTTTAACAGTTTATGACTGTAACTAAAAAGCTAATAGTTTATTTTTTTTAAAAAGATTCACGTTTCGTTCCTTTAGAGCAATGTATGTGTTTCAGCAAACAGTCTTCATTCGTTCTCATTGCTCTTATCTGGATCATTTCGATAGGGCAACACATTGTGGTCGAAGGCATTTGTAAGTTTAAAATATACTCTTTTCGCGAAATTTGTTGGTACTTCATTTACACTCTATTCATCCTTCATATCTTTTCAAGGACTGATAAGTCTCCATTACACTGCCAATTAATAGTAAGATACAAACGTAATAATCGCACTGGCCGGTTAATAGTTTTACATGTTGGATAGCTAAAATCACATGATCACAGTTTTTTCAAAAAAAGAGACGTAAGTATTATAAATGGATCTAAGAATAGCTCGAAGATCATACCATAAAACTTTGATGACACTATTGCTATATTGTCCATAGAAAATCAGACAAATGCTCCCAGAAAGCTCTAAATATTTTTTATAAGTGTAAAAATAAACAACAGGTTTTTCACAATAATTTCGCATAAGAAGGCCGTACAATGCATCTATCAGTGACAATTTGTCAGCAAATCATGACTAAATTTTTTCCAACAGTAGCCAGTCACTTCTATCATTTTCATATTAATGAGCATACAGCTCTGACATTTTTGTACTCAATATTGAAGCGCGTGATTTACTATGACCCATTGTAAACATGCAGTTCAAAAGCTGAGAAACTTTTCTAGAGTAGATGATTTCATAGAAGATGAATAGCAGACAAGTTCAAAATAGGAAAAGGTGCTCACGAAATTTGTATATAAAGACAAATACTTCTAACATTTTGGTCTTCTCAGCATTGGCTGCTGCACATGCTAATTAGCATTTTTATAAACATGTACAACAACTCGAACAGCCCCTGATACAGTGTTGCGCAGTGTAGAGGACTCCCCGTACTATTTACAATGAAATGGCCTAAAAACTAAACTTTCAGTTGGATGTACACTTTACTACGCAGACATAAACTGGGGATTCAACTTCAAGCTTGATGGGGTGAGAGATTGAAAAAACATCAGCTTTTCATTTACATGACTTTTTTCAAGCTGTGCCTCCCTCTGGTAAATTACTCGAACACGACAAAGCAATATGTTATGGCTGGTCTGGTTGGTTCAGCGGACGCAATAACAATGGTGAAACTGCGCCTTTCCGCAAAAATGGTTTGTATCGTTGCGTAGACCTTCCTTTATTGAAAATTTTGCTTCAGCTCTCCGGTGACTCAAAACAAGCTAAGGCCAAACGGAAAGCAGACGTCAACTTTTTCAAGCAGGTGATGTCTTATCAAAACTCATTACTTGTTTGCTGATATGACCACTGAAGTAATATCCATTTTAACTCAGTCTCTGGCGCAATTTTTGATATGGGTCCTTGAAATGACGAGCTACTTCTTTATTTCGGGATATTTTCCCGGTAACAAGATTGTTTTATGGATACTACAAAATTGGGCTTGGCTGCTTATGCATACTGCCGATGGGTATGTTCACAGCTAAACAAATTTTGTTCAAAAAAGATCTTTTCATTCCATTAAAATTACAAAAGTACTTTAGAATTTCACTGCTCGCCATAAATCAAGAACTAAAAAAATTATTCCGGAATCCAACGGCGGTAATTTCTTTACCTTTCAAAACTTGAACTTAAATATTATTTGCAGATATGTTACGGTCCGAAAAAATGTAATAGTTCTCCAACCACGATTACAGTTGCTTCAAGCCGCGTATTTAAAGGTGAAGGTCAAGAAAACGATTGAGCACTGGATTTTTATTTGGAAAATCTGTTCTGTCGAGGAACACTTCTCAAGTAACATGCAATGCGTGCTGCAAACATAATCTTGTCAATCACATTGATCTATGGCTGATGACAACATATTATGACTGATATTTGACAGTAAATTTTTTATTCGGTATGTAATGCTACACCAGGGATATACATTATGGCGTTCTGCACAGCCGCTCTCAGCTATTCTGCAGGATTTAAAGAGGCTTGCGGAAAAAATTGGTACACTGATAAAAAATCAATCAATCAAAAATCAGTTTCTTTTCTAAACGAAAGATGCTTTTACCATCTCTGTCTTCCTCTCTCTTTCTCTCTCTCTCTCTCTCTCTCTCTCTTTATCTATCTCCCTCTACCAAGTTCTAGCCTCCTGGATCAAATTCTCAGAAAATGGGTTAAAAATGAAAATTTTCAATCAAAACAACCATAGAAATACGCAAACATACAGGTAGACCAAACGCCGACACACTATTGGGCTGCATATTGATTTGGCGGCGAAATTAGCGCAGTTCGGATAAGATTTTTTAGTTTGAAAGTATGTTTCTGTCCACAAAAATAACAAAGCTTTGAGCTTTACAACGTGTTACAAACGCACTTTATTGTCTAACAGAGCACGTTGGAGAACATAGCTTTGAAAACAGCACTTTGGTTTTACATCACTGAGTTTTTATTTATTGTCAAAGAGTTTCGCGCAACTAGCAGTAATAGGTGCTACCAAGAGTGCGAAATGCCAGCATTTAGTTGACCTTTTCACGGAAGACCAAAGCCTGCTGCTGTTCTGTATGGATTGATGCCATGCAAAAAAATTTTTTCACACAATTTCTAGGTTTAATTAGCCACTTCCTAGTACTTTTTAAAACTCACGTTAAAATCCCGTTTGAAGTGCCATTTTTGGACACTTTGTTTTTTAAGGCCAGATACTATCAGCTGTCAGAAAACCACCGTAAGGCCCCGGACAGACTTCACGCGATTTGATTGTCGCGATCTAATCGCCAAGATTTCCATTCATTTTCATTTCACATTCAAAAATTTCGGGCTGGAAAAGTATCACAACCGAATGCAAGTTAATCGGCATGGAATGATGTTGTTACAGTTGTTTCGTCGCGACTCAGTCGCGACGATCAAATTCCGTGAAGTCTACCCGGGGCCTAAAGCGGAAACTTTTGTCTAGGATGAGAAACGTAAACTTAGGTCTGATACACAGTTCAGTAATACAATAGAAAGCGAGGAAGTAGCCAATGGAGATTTTCAAAGAATGTGGTTGCGGTCCATGTAGAGAATCGGCTAAGTGCTTTCAGAAGATGGTGTATCCTCGCTTGCTGCATGATTTCTCTAAGTTTTTGGTAGATTACTTTAGACCCTGAAACAAAGTCTCATGTGAAGTGCTGAATGTTTTTGCATAAAAAAGGTTTACCGTTGAAGTAGCAGTGCCAATAAACCACTAGTAACGACGCTCTAAAATCAGCTTATAAGCTGGATATACAGGAGTGCTTGGAAAATCTGTAAGTTCATCAAACTGCTTGGGATTATAAAGGACAGAAGGCGGGTTGCTCGCCTGCAGATATTAGATAGAATTTGTGAGTCGAGATGAAAAAAAGGAATTGGTTTTAGATCACAAATTTGTCATCTGCCCTTTCTGCTGTAGACAAGAGAAGTTGTGCTCTTGCGCTTTCAGGCTTTCATAGCAGGTTTTATCAACTGAAACAGTCAAAAAATTGCTCTTGTTAAAACCACCAAAGATATGGTGGCAGTTGTGCTGTACTTTTTAACAGATAAATTGTGAAATTGAAAAAAATTTTGACGTACTGCGTTGATTATCAGAGTGGCAATAAACGAGATTTGAGCCTAATCGCAAAGTTACATGGATGCTTAGAAGTTAGAATAATTTGTTTGTTGATCATAATAATAAGTTGGCTAAAAAAATAATTTCCTTGAAGTGAAAATCTTCATAGAAACTTTCCTAGTCAATCTTTAATCATGATTTTCTATAAATAAGTAGTGCAAAGCAGGGCTAGCCACGAGGTGGCTTCCAGAAATCGCAAAAAACGAGTCTTTTTTGACTTTACTATGAAAGTGCGACATCGACAGATATTAAAAGAGTAAACATATGAAAAGGAACGAAACAAGTAAAACAAAAAAGTGCCAAAGAAGCATGAAACAAACGCGATAATGTTGGTATTATCTAGATTGACGGCATGATGTATCCAACGTGCAGCACCACGCGCCTGGAGCAGCGTTGCCGCTGCCATTTAAATTATTTAATGGACTGTAACTGAGCGGAGAGGAGGGGGTTTAAGGCGGTGCAGGAACCAAATTGTAGGGTTTGAGATGTAAATGAAATTTGTATGAAAAAGATAAAAAATTCTGTGAGTGAAAAAAAAATTATAGCTTTTCCTTTCCCAAGCTATCTCGGTGTCTGGGCTTCTAGGTGCTTGAAAGCCACCTTACTCGAAAAAAAATTTAAGACGCTTTCAGTTCACACATTACACAGTCCTTACTCCTCTTGCCCATCTACACACCAATTTTAACCTCATTTCATTCTCACTTTGCTGTAAACAAGCTCTTTGTTTGTTTGGGAGAGCATGCAGGCGAGATGCCGGCAGTGCAGGCGGCAGGCAGGTCTCCATATCGAAAGACAGTGGTGTGCTGAAACGCAAATCCCCTTTGCTTTTTCTTCCAAAAACAACGCCCAGCTTGCTTGGTAAGCCACCTGTGCCTTGCCCTGGATTGAAGTTTCTTCTATCACAAATCAGCTATTCCAAATCTCAAATTATAAGTAAGGGACAGTTATGCACCAACATGGCTAAAATCCCAAAAGCTCAATTCTGCGACTTTCGAAACTTCGTTTTCATGCTCTAATGGATTTAGAGAACAACAATTTGGTGTTTTGATACAAACAAGTTTTTCCTACTGGGCGATTATCAATGAAAAATATGACATGTCATTTCAAAATTCTCCTGAAAAATCCTCACATATTTGCGCACAAAGAGAAAACTGCGGTTTCTTAAAATTTCCTTGCGGATTTCTTTCATTGCAAAGTAAATTTATTTGAACAGATTTTTTGTTCCAATTGTTCCAATTTTCATTGAACTGCCTCTTCCAGCGGACCAATACTAAATAAAAAATTGTCTGCACATCTGGGCCGGTAGTAATCCTCCCGACCTGGCGGCATGTCTCGTCGGCAGGTCGCTGGCACCTTTTCCGTGAGGTGGCCAGAAAGTGAAACCCCAAATTTAGGCCGTCCCAGGCCTATTTCCAAAAAAATTTCTCGATAAAGATGCCACCTCGACTTTGTAGAAAACTCCATGAAAATCTGCGGTTCCAGAAATCCTCCTGCAGGAAAATATCTGGAAGCGCAGGAGGAGCTGCCGGCAACTTCGCAATGTCAGTTGCCGGCAACCTGCCGGCACCTCGTCGAAATCCGCGAGATGGCAGCTGCCGGCAGGTTAGAGAGCACGGGAAATAGCGTGCTCTTTTGGGAGAGGGAGCTGCCGGCATCTCGACGTGCCCCTACCACGTCGAGGTGGTGGCACCTTTGCCGACGGCGGCTGAGAGTTTGCGAGTTGCGGCGATATCACACAATTTACGCCAGGCGAAAAGTCAAAAAATTCTACTTTTCATCAAAATATTATCATTTTTCTCATTATATGAGTTTTTCTTCTTTAGAGCGACGATTTTCTTACATAGAAAAAATTTAGTAATGCCTTAGAATCCTAAAGAACAACATCTTTTCTGGCAATCCCTTATAAATCTCGTCTGCACCGATTTCGCCCCTCTCTCGCTCATAGCAATCAGCTGTTCTTTCAGGTCAAAGTTTCTCACGCAATGTATCGATCCCTCTTACAGGCGGCCACTTATCAATGCCCTCCTCCCATAGCTGGTGCAAACGGCAATGTATGACCGAATGGTCGAATGGTTAACGTGGTGGCACTCAAAGTTAACACACTCAGGTTCGATCGCGCGCGAGGTAGCAGTTTTGCGGCTGTCTGAGCCATCAAAATTTAATACACGAAATGATTGTGTGCCAAGGTTATATAAGATTAATAAAACCTACAATCACTTCGCGAGCTGCCGGCGGAGTTGGCATCTTTCCGCGATGTGTGCCAACTTGCCGGCATCTATGATGCCACCAGGTAGGGTAGATTACTACCGGCCCTGTAGGAGCCGCAAAACCGACCGAAAATATTATCAGCCAACCTTACATTTGTAAACTTTTGTTGTCAGCAGTACAGATGCTCGCGGTCTCTTTTATTCCCTACGAAACGTGCTGTTCAAAAATCTCCATTGCTTACTAACATACTTCATGTTACTTCACGTTTAGCGTGGACTTGATCTAGCATAAATAGAATATGCTTTTTAGTTGACCTTAGAGTGCAATGCCAGGATAATAATATAATGTTACGATAGTGCAGATAGAGAAATAACTTTCTTGGTTGCTCAAAATAGAGAAATTACTTGCACTTTACCAAAGAACCTCATAAATTCGTTATGTCATGGAAGCAAATAAAGAGCTAAGCAAGGATATATCTATCATGTCTTATCATTCATCCAACACGACAGTGCTGTTCTCTTTCGTTAATGATGAAAATAAACGTCATATTTTTGGCGACAACAAGCTTGAACACGGTTCAAAGTGTAAAGTGTGGCTAAACTTTTCTAAGCATATGTTGAACCATTGGGCTGATTTTCGAAAAGATAGTTAGCAAAATAAACTAATTTTATGCATCTGAAACGATCGAATTACAGCTAAAAAATAATTGTTACTAAAACAACACAGTTTTTCTTGGGCTGATACTTTCTGATACTCACTAAGTCTTCTCGGTTATTTCTAAAAA